TCCCAGGGAACGTGTATACTTTTCCGGGCAACGGTCAGCCAGAAGTTTAAAAAATGTTAGTTACGTTAGGGTATAATGGGTAAACTTCGTATTATTGATGTGACAAAAAGATAGAAACCGAGGAAATTTGTAAGTCTCAATGAAATGACAACTTATAAAAACAGCATGTAACATGCATTACTCTGTAAAAATTTCAGCGAAGCACGTAACGCTGTTCCAACTTTAATTGCTAATAAAATTCAACGGTTCAAGTCAAATGGAAGGCGATCTGTTAAAGAAAAATATTTAAATTTTAATGGTGTGGAATTGTGTAATAGAAAACTATTTCCAAAAAGTGGTTATACAAATTAGTTAGTTTGTATGCAGTACGTGCTGAATGCCGACCCCGTCTGTATTAAGGAAAGAACGAATAGAAAGGAGAAAATATAAAACGAATAAAAAGTGTCCGAGGATTAGATACAAAAGCCTTAACACTGTCAGCGCTTTTGAATTTTACATTCGATTTGTTTAGGCATAAAGTCTCCCTCTGGTGTGACGATGCCTTCATAAAATTCCACCCAACGCTCGTATCCCCCCAGGACGCAGAGTAGAGCGAGTGTGGAGGAGAGAGAAAGCGGAAGGGATGGACGGTAACGAAAGACTTCGAGGAACGTAAGCAAGGACGATGGTTCTGGGAGTGTAGAAATGAAATGAACAAAGTAGGTAGAACGGCAAGGCGGGAGAAAAAGTTGACAGCGAGTTAGCAAGGAAAAACGATGGAATGAACCTCAAAGAGAGGAAATGGTGAGGGCCTGGTAGTGAGGAAACAGGAGACAGAGAAACGAGGAGGAAGAGGTGGATGTGAATACTGGGAAGAGGAAAAAGAGAAAGTCGTGAAAAAGAGGAAGGAAACGGAGAAGCATTGACAAAACGGATGGCACGGCGCACCGCGGCTGAGAAACAAGAAAATGGGGAGGCAAGGACAAAGGGTAATGGGCAGCCGTCGAGGCGGAAAGGTGGGGAAGAGAGTGAGGCGGGGAGAGGGCGAGGCGGGGAGACGTGGTGGCGACGAGAGAGCACAGCGATGAGAGAGCAAAGCAGGATTCAGGCGAGGTGGGGAGAGATATAAGAACGCGAATCGTGCAAAGCGGGGAGACGGTAAGGAAGGAAAAAGCAAAGCGGGGAGAAGGCGAGGAAGGAAGAGGGCTAAGCGGGAGGCGGCGAGGCAGCGTGAAGGGGAGGTGGGTAGAGTTCGAGGCGAGGAGAGGACAAAATGGAGAAAGAGAGAGCGAGGCTGGGAGAGAGCTTGGCGGGGAGAGAGCGAGGCGAGGAGAGGGCAAGGTGGGACGGCGACATGGCAGGCAGCCAACGACGCAGGGAGAAAAGGAGGCTGAGAGAGGGAGAAGTGGGGAGGCAGCAAGGTAGGGAGACGGCGATGATAGAAGTGGGCGTCGCGGAGATACTGCGAGATGGGGAGAGGATAAAACGGGGAGATGGCGATGCGAGGCAGCGGCAAGACAGGGTGACGGCAAGTCAAGGAGAAGGCGAAGCGGATATAGAACAAAGGGGGGAGGGTGAGGAGGGGAGAGGGAAACGCAGGAATAGAGCGAGGAGGGGTGACGGCAAGGCGGGAAGGGGGCATTGCGGAGAGACGGCGAGGCGGGGAGGTGCAGAAAGGGGAACGTGGAGAAAAATCGAGGCGAGTAATCGCGGATGGCGGAATTTGAATGCGGCCGCGCGCGCAGCAGTGGTTCGATGCGTCAAGGGCGGAATGCGGGTGGGGGCGGGGGAGGATCAAAAGCGGGCGACGGGAGAGGTGGCGCGATCGCAGGGCCGGAGTTGGCTCATGAAGAATTAAACCGCGCTGAAAGCCCTGCAAATGAGGATAATTAGGCGCACGGGCAATCATCAATTAATCAACGCCGCGTTTAGTGAGCCGCTTCAAAAGGGTGCAAGAACACTCCGACGCCAGAGCAGCTCGGCGGCAGCGGCGAGAAGCAGACGGTGGCAGTGCGACAGTCAGGGCGGTGCCGGTGGCAGAGGGGTTTTTGGAGGCGATGGTGAAGGCATAATAAGTGGAGGGAGCAGACGGGAAAGCGGAAACAATGAGTATTTGGAAAATATCGAATTGGCCACTGAGGTGTACGTGGACTGAGCCACTGGCAGCTGCTGTATGGGCATGATTGTAGTTTCAACAGACAAGACCGAATCGGTACTGAGGATCAACAGGACCGAATTAGAGGATACAGATAACACTTCTAGTATATAAACCCACCACACAACTTGTTTTAGTTCACACTGTGATTATTTAAAAAAAAACTGTGTATCGGATGTTGTTCCAATGCGTTTGTAAGAAAGATATTAGTAATTCCTGCTGACGTACGTTTTATATTTTGTAGTGAATAAAGAAATGCACCAATAATTTATAAATTATACTTATCATTACAATCTCAATACTCCTGCGTTTTAAACACATTATAAAATATATCAATTGAGATATTTTACTCGTTCTTAAAATATTACATAACTCGTATCATCATGAATTCGTTTCTACAATCCGTTTAGAGTTCGTAAACTCTTCCACTTTCAAAACTTTATTGTTAAAATACTGTTTTAGTTATTGAATTGTCAACACTGATTTCCCACAATGGGCTGTCCAGTATTCGAAAATCTGCGTTTACTGTCAGAAAGTGTATGAAATGATGCAATTTAAATTAGTTCATAATAATTATTTATAAACGTTATGATTGTTAAACAACTTATAATTATGACAGTAACGTGCCGTACTGGCCGCATTTAATTGACTACCCAAATCACGTATAAGAGTAATAAAGTGAACAGTGGGAACTATCGTTATGCATACATGACATAAACAGAATAACATTTCCGCTCATTTACACTTCCTAATGAATTAAATTAGCACATTCATAAGAGAATAAATTCGCATAATAGAAGAAACTGAAAGAGCAAGGTATCTGAAAGGTAGATGAGTCGATCATGTAGCAAGACTCAACGACGATAGGTGGAGTTATAGAACTACAGTATGAGATCAAAGAAGACTTACAAGAAAAGTCGGAAGATAGAAGACTCGGGAAGACCGAATGAAACGTGAAGTAGGATTTTCATTGCCAAGTACAGCAAGAAATAAAGGAACGTTGAAAATTCTCAAAAATAAAGGAAAGTGTTAAGTTATGGGCAAATTAAAAGAAATGTTAAGTGGAAAGCATTTGGACGAAAACAACTTAAATGTTTAAGTTTAAGTGAAAATGTTTAAGTATATGAATAACTTATGATCAGTAATATTAAGAAGAGTAAAACATAAAGTTGTGTTAAAAATGTTATGGGATGTTATACGGGCTATTACTATTACTATATTCGTAGTACTTCAATTCTTTCACTATAAAAACGTACAAAAAATTAATTATATCGTGAAACATTGTGTTTTCTAGGAACAGAAAACATAACAAAACAAATGTGAAGAGTTTCATCTTGCGCATAATCGTGTTTCAGTTCTAAACGAGAGAAGTCGTCTCATGTAACCCTTAATTGTCTTTTCAATCAATGTTTCGTAAGAGAAAGTAAAATATTTCCATATATGTTACTGGCACGTTCATACTGACAAAATCAAAATACATTCACGACATTGTGCATACTTCATCACACAAATATACTTTATAATGTGATTGGACCATTTATGCTAGCAGATGAGAACATAATTATAAACAATAAAACATCCTGTCTGAATTCTCCTTCAAAAGTATGTTTGCTCAAAAGACCTCTTACCAAACACCCTACCCTCATACAACAATATTTCCAGATTAAGTGCGGTAAAGAGGAGTTATATTCCCTTTTGTGTAAAGCCTACAATACGAGTGTTTCGTGAATTGTGGAATCACCCACAGCAAGAGCTCAGCCTTGCATAACCTTTGGCCTAGTTTCCGCACGCATTTCATTCCCAACTCCCCTCCAGAGTGAGCCCCGTCTCGCTCTGCTGTACCCCCGCCCCACCCACAAGACGCCCCTACGCCCTCCTTCTCTCTCGTGCTTTCCATCTCCCCGGCCGCTCGTCCATTCCTGTCCCCTCTGTTGACAACTCGTACCTCTAATCTTCCTTCCCGTCATTGTGAATTCGAGGCCCATCCTCATCCATCTGCCTCGGCACCCCCACCCGACCTCCTCCTCACCACGACCCGACCTCCATCTCATGTCTGCTTCATCCCCCCGCCTGCGCAAAGCTCCCGCCCCGCCCGCTCCGCCCCGCCCCGCCCGCCCGCCAAGCCCCGCCCCGCCTTGGCGCGGAAGCGCCTGCCACAGCGCCAGCGCTGCCGCTGGCACCGTCTATCCCCCCGGGGGAAAGTGAGGTCTGCGATGACGCAAGCAACTCCGTGGAAGGGTCGCAAGCGCGCGGGGATGGCCAGCCGAGGAGGTGCGATGGCGGTGACGGGGAGGGGGACGGCCGGTGGCGGCGGAGGACGGAGTCGGTGGCGGAGAGGCGTGGGCGGCGGGGAAGGCGGGGTGGGGAAGGGGCAGGGAGGTTGAGGCGGTGCGGGGGACGATGCGGAGCGGCCTTGTGACGGCTCCCACGATGCGGGGAGAGTGGTGGGGAAGGTTCGAAGACGGCAGAACAAAAACGATTAATTTTTTGGCACAACGAACGGTTGGGGCGAAGCGAGCGACGAGAGAACTGATGGGACGGGCCATTGAATGGCAAGGGGGGTTTCGTAAAATGAAGTGGTCTGAACCGTGCACGGATGGGTTAGATCGGCGTTAAGGGGTCGGGGAGGCCATGCGTGAAGGCTGCGGTGTGGGGAAAGAAGGATGGAACGGCTGTGAGAGCGTGTAAGGCCCTCTGAGGAGAATAAGGAGGAAGGACGTTGGGTGGTGAACACGTAGGCGAAAAAAAGGAACGTAGTACATAGGTGCGTGATCTTGGTGCTTGGGGAAAAATGTATCCGTTAAATTACGAAGAGAGAGACATTTAACTCACACTTTCGCCAATCTATTCCTTTGGATTATCTTTATTATAAATTCCGTAGTGTAGCAGATATCTTTTTGGTAAATCACTGGAAAATGTA